CAAGGGGTTGTAGAAGGCGGAGGAGTCCATACCGATGGATGGATAGGGGTTCTGTTCGCTGGAGGTGTAGGTGGTGCCATAGACCCCTCCAGTGGCCCCGAGGCTGGAGCCGATCCTGGAGTAGGAGCCGAGGGCGAGGCGGTCGTACTGACAGGAGCAGACGGGTTGTCCGCTCACCGGGTCTGTCATGATGGTCCGGCCGCCCTCACAGCAGCCGGTGCCGCCCGTCCCGCCTCCGCCCTGACCCACCAGCAGCTGGTGGCACCAATCACACACGGCTTTAGTTTGGGGTTGCAATTTATTTTTTTCCCTACAATGCGGTGCGTGTTAGTGTTAGTGTGTGTGTGTGTGTGTGTGTGTGTGTGTGTGTGTGTGTGTGTGTGTGTGGTGTGTGTGTGTGTGTGTGTGTGTGTGTGTGTGTGTGTGTGTGTGTGTGGGTGTAATTACCTAAGTGTAGTTACAGGATGAGAGCTACGCTCGTGGTGTCCCGTCGTAGCTCTCATCCTGTAACTACACTTTAGTGTGTGTATGTGTGTGTGTGTGTGTGTGTGTGTGTGTGTGTGGTGTGTGTGTGTGTGTGTGTGTGTGTGTGTGTGTGTGTGTGTGTGTGTGTGTAATTACCTAAGTGTAGTTACAGGATGAGAGCTACGCTCGTGGTGTCCCGTCGTAGCTCTCATCCTGTAACTACACTTTAGTGTGTGGTGTGTGTGTGTGTGTGTGTGTGTTGTGTGTGTGTGTGTGTGTGTGTGTGTGTGTGTGTGTGTGTGTGTGTGTGTGTGGTGTGTGTGTATTACCTAAGTGTAGTTACAGGATGAGAGCTACGCTCGTGGTGTCTCGTCGTAGCTCTCATCCTGTAACTACACTTTAGTGTGTGTGTGTGTGTGTGTGTTTACCTAGTTGTGTCTACGAGGAGGAGTCTAGCTCTCAATCCCCGCCTCCTTGTAAATGTACATGATGAATTTATACCTTCCGACGACTGTGGACTCAAATATACTTGCAGTCGAGCTCTAGCTCCTGAATCCCCCTCCCCCTTACCAGCTATGCTAGCTACTACTATATCTCCATCGAATAAATTCCATTTGCTCTCTTAGGCTAAAAACGCTATTGCGAATATCCCTATTTTATATGAGCTTCAGGTGCCCATTCATGCCCTTTGTTCAACCTTGGCTTACACTGTTCACCTTATCGACCTTAGGAATACCCATGAGTATCTCATATGTCGTTAACATGTCTCCTCTATACCCTCTATCCTCAAGTGTGGTGAGCTCGCTCAGCTTCTCCCCACAGTGTAACCCGCACGGTTCAGGTATGAATACCTCTGGAATGTTTTGGCCTGTCTTAAGTGTCTCAAAATTGAGGTCCATGCATGGGCAGCATACTCCTGAATGGCCTCACGTTGTGTGTGTGTGTGTGTGTGTGTGTGTGTGTGTGTGTGTGTGTGTGTGTGTGTGTGTGTGTGTGTGTGTGTGTGTGTGTGTGTGCGTGCGGTTATAATAATGTTTATGTTAACAGTAATAATAATAATAAAAATATTAATAATTATGGTAATGCGAGCATCAATAATAATAAACTTATGAGTAATTATTATATACGAAAATAAAACGAAGAAAAAACATTGCATTTAATACAGTAAAACAACAACAGACTGCATCCTCCGCGAGATGCAGTCTTTGTACATACGAAGACCACACACAGTATTTTGGTTAGACCGCGAGAACACACTCGCTACGTCATGGTGGCACTCACTTGGTGGCACTCATTACATCATGGTGGCACTCATTACGTCTAATACCTATTCGGTATTAAACTTGTGCTCTCTGTGGGGGGGGGGGTTGAATAGGGGGGAGGAAGGGTTCGATCGGTTAAGCTTCGACACGGTTTGTCGCCATTTTGAAAGCTGTTTTCCCTTCTTTCATTGCAAGACACCGCCTCAGGTCTTCTGAGACGTTTCCAGGCCTTTTAAGACCCTGCCCAGGTTTTGTGAGACAATTCGCAAGACTTATGAGGCCTTTCCAGGCCTTGTAAAACCCTTTCTAGGCCTTGTGAGACTTTTCCCAGGTTTTGTGAGACCCTTACCAGTCCTTGTGAGACTTACAAGTGCCTTGTGAGAGTTTCCAGAACTCTCCAGTTTCCAGAACCCGCGTGTACCCCCCTCAAGGCCTTGTGAGACCTTCTCAGGCCTATGAGATCTTCCCGTAATAAAAATGAAATAAAAGCTAACAAAACCTAAAATAAGTTTATTAAAATTATGACAAAAGATACAGGAATTGAAATTTGAGAAGGAAAGCAAGTATGAGGTAGAGGTAAGGTGGGCCTCATGCAAGGGGTGTACAGGGCCTCATGCAAGGGGTGTACAGGGCCTCATGCAAGGGGTGTACAGGGCCTCATGCAAGAGGTGTACAGGGCCTCATGCAAGGGGGTGTACAGGGCCTCATGCAAGGGGTGTACAGGGCCTCATGCAAGGGGTGTACAGGGCCTCATGCAAGAGGTGTACAGGGCCTCATGCAAGGGGTGTACAGGGCCTCATGCAAGAGGTGTACAGGGCCTCATGCAAGGGGGTGTACAGGGCCTCATGCAAGGGGTGTACAGGGCCTCATGCAAGGGGTGTACAGGGCCTCATGCAAGGGATGTACAGGGCCTCATGCAAGGGGTGTACAGGGCCTCATGCAAGGGGTGTACAGGACCTCATGCAAGGGGTGTACAGGGCCTCATGCAAGAGGTGTACAGGGCCTCATGCAAGGGGTGTACAGGGCCTCATGCAAGGGGGTGTACAGGGCCTCATGCAAGGGGGTGTACAGGGCCTCATGCAAGGGGTGTACAGGGCCTCATGCAAGGGGTGTACAGGGCCTCATGCAAGAGGTGTACAGGGCCTCATGCATGGGGTGTACAGGGCCATGGGGTGTCATGCAAGAGGTGTACAGGGCCTCATGCAAGGGGTGTACAGGGCCTCATGCAATGGGGTGTACAGGGCCTCATGCAAGGGGTGTACAGGGCCTCATGCAAGGGGTGTACAGGGCTCATGCAAGGGGTGTACAGGGCCTCATGCAAGGGGTGTACAGGGCCTCATGCAAGAGGTGTACAGGACCTCATGCAAGGGGGTGTACAGGGCCACATGCAAGGGGGTGTACAGGGCCTCATGCAAGGGGTGTACAGGGCCTCATGCAAGGGGTGTACAACGTGACCCGCTGGAGACGCGCCAGGTGTCTGCATTTGATGCCGATGGTGATATCTGGAGAAATGATATGCACGATTAATGGTATTAGCACGGCCTACATGGAGAAAGTTCAGTGGACCTGTGCCTCCTATGACCTCCTATGATAACCCTTCCAAGCCTCTAGTGCTTGGATAACACCTTGTGTCCCTCCCCCCCCCTCCCACACACACACCTGCAGATAACACCTCGCTCCCCCCCTCCACACACACCTGCAGATAACATCTCGCGTCCCCCCCCCCCCGCACACATCTGCAGATAACACCTCGCGTCCCCACACACACACACCTGGAGATAACACCTCGCGTCCCCCCCCCCCCCACACACACCTGCAGATAACACCTCGCGTCCCTCCCCCCCACACACACCTGCAGATAACACCTCGCGTCCCCCCCCCACACACCTGCAGATAACACCTCGCGTCCCCCCCTCCCACACACACCTGCAGATAACACCTCGCGTCCCCCCCACACACCTGCAGATAACACCTCGCGTCCCCCCACATACACACATCTGCAGATAACACCTCGCTTCCCCCCACCCACACACACACACACCTGCAGATGTTAATGACATTTCTGCATGACAAGGAACAAGATGGACAAGAGAAAGGTGGCTGAGAGACCTTTACGTGTATATAATAACGATAAACCAATATTTAAAACATCGCAGGTAAAATGATTTAGTTCACACAACGGCTGGGGCTGTAAGGCTGTTGAAAGAATAAGCCTGGTTGATGGGGGCATAGGCCTGGCTTATATAGACATAGCCCTGCTTGTTGGGGGTATATAGGCCTGGTTTATATAGACATAGCCCTGGTTGTTGGCGGTATATAGACCTGGCTGTTGGAGGCATAGCTTGCGACTCCCAAGAACACATACACCACTAGTCAGCCACACTCAGCTCTTGTAGTGAGAGTTTGTTTGGACATTTGGAAATGGATATTGTTAACCATAGCCATGATCTCTGATGGCGAATGGTGAACGAAACGATGAATAACTGACCACCATTAAGTCAAGTCTGTTTCACGGGTGCGTGGTTCTAATGCTCTTATTATTTCTGGCCAATCCTAACGCCTCACTATTTCCTCATACACCCGTCCCGTTATGGTGACGAGATTGTGTAAACAGAAATAAGTCATCGCAGACAATTTTTCCGCCTAGTAAAACTTATTTACTCAACGTAAGTAGGGAGTTATTGCCAATTTAATTATACTTTACCGGAGTACAAGGCTTATATTTGGGAATACCAATCTACTCTTGCGAGAGTTAAAAGTTAATTATTTTTGGGCTCCGCCTTTGGCTATCGGTAGCATAATTCCTGATGCTCTTGTCATAACACTTCTACATCAGAAGCGATGTATGGAGTTAGCCTCCACTACCTCCCTCTCCATATTTGGAGTATACTTTATACCCCTTACATGTGTCCCTCTTTCAAATTAATCTTTCGAAAAACTTTTCGAACAAATTACTTTTTTTTTATTTTGTCATTTTTAATATAAAAAAACCATTCCACCCATCCACTTCTTTACTGGATACTTTTCAGTAACTCAACTCATAGCAACTCTGCTGGTTTAAATACTCCATTATTAAATACGAAAGTACTTAAGGAAATTCCTGCTTCAATTTTTCCTCCGTGGTCTGACACTGTCATATATATATATATATATATATATATATATATATATATATATATATATATATATATATATATATATATATATATATATATATATATATATATATATATATATATATATATATATATATATATATATATATATATATATATATATATATATATATATTATATGTAATGATCCTGCGTAAGGATCATTACAGTTTGTGACGCGAGAGCGGCAACCATCGGCTCGTCGTCGTTCGAGTATTCTTCAATGCGAAGAAGACAAAATTCGCATTGATATATATATATATATATATATATATATATATATATATATATATATATATATATATATATATATATATATATATATATATATATATTAGTATATTTTGGTAGCAGTCTTTCCTGTAGACATATA